CTCGCTCCAGGAATGCAGGAGCAGCCAGACATGGGATGGAGCCTTGGGCAGAGGCTGGGGAAGGTTTGGGGCCAYGCCCACAGAGTGACCCCGCAGGAGGGGATGCTGCAAACCGGCCCTTGCAGCTGGGGGCGGTACCTGTGGTGCTTGGGGTCGGCGGTTACAGTGATAAAAGCTGGTGCATCCTCCATGGCATCAAAGTACTCCGTCTCCTCATCTTCATCACTGGCCTCTCCTTTGGCAGACTGCACGCTCCCTGCRGGCACAGGGACAGTGTCACGTGCTGCCAGTTCCCTCCTGAGAAGGATCTGTCCCCAAACCCCCCAGTGTCCCTTCCACAGCTTGACCCGTCCTCTCCACACCCCCCCACACCCCGAGGACGCTGTACCCAATTCATTTCCTAAACGTGAGAATGCTCCCCACTCCGGGCACACGGTGTGACACTGCCATGCCCAGAATGTCCCCAGGGCTGCCTGGGGGTGACAGAGGTGCAGGACTGGAGCTTTCAGCCTGTGGCTGATGTTGCCCCGCTCCAGCACCGCCCTGTGTGCTGGGAAATCTCGGGAAATCCGGTTTGGATGAAAGCAGGATAAAAGAGTCACGTGTTCCAGGTGATGCTTCGAGAGATCTCCCTGAATTACAAACATTTCCATTCCCCCACCCCGCTGGGAGGGATCGAGGGCTGTCCCTGCAGCTCCCCTGTTCCCGCCCCGTCCCAATCCTATTCCTTCCCCACACTCTCTGGAGGAGCAGCCACCAGCTCGGGTGGATCTGTGCCTGTCCCCGCAGCCCTCTCCACCCTGCCCTCCCCAGCTGCACCTCAGATTTGTTTAGGCTGGAAAAGCCCTCTGAGAACATTGAGCCCAGCCATCCCCCAGCACTGCCCGGGCCACCACCAACCCATGTCCCCAAGTGCCACATTCAGCTGTTAAATCCCTCCAGGCATGGGGACAGCTCTGGACAACCCTTTCCATGAAGAAATGTTGCCCAATATCCAAAGTAAACCTCCCCTGAGGCCACAGAGGAGCACCCCCTGCAGCAGCCCCTGTTTTCTCTCTTGGGTCTGTATTGCCTTTAAAAATAAAAACCAGCACTATCAGGAGCTTTTGTGGCTGTAACTAATGCTTCCCCAGGGGAAGGACGTTTGGCAGGAATCTGCAAAGCTGTTGGATCTTACTGCAAACGCTGTTCCACTGCCACCCCATGCAGCGCCAGGGGACCCTGAGCCTTTTGCCAGGGCCATGGCCACCCTCCAGCACCCCTAGTTGTGCCCAGCAGTGAGGGTTAGAGCTCCCAAAATAGCCTGGAATAGCAGGAGCGAGCTGGGGACACACTCACAGCTGTATCTTGGGGACATCCAAGTCCTCGAGCAAGGGCAATTAGGAATAATTATCGAGTAATGGGATCCATTTTAAAAAATCCCATGGGGATACGGGGCATTGCCCGGGGCATCCTTCCCATCACTGGCAGCTCCTTGGGAGCAGCCAAGTGGAACATCCTGATCCATCCTGGAGGAACATCCTGATCCATCCTGCAGGGCCCTGAGCAGCCCTGTCCCATCGCAGGGGTCCCCAAGTGGAATGTCCCAGTCCATTCTGGGGGTCCCGAGCAGCCCTGTCCCATCCCAGAGGTCCCCAAGTGGAATGTCCCAATCCATCCTGGGGTTTCCTGAACAGCCCTGTCCCATCCCAGAGGTCCTTGAGCAGCTCCATCCCATCCTGGGGGTCCCTGAGTGAGACACTCTGATCCATTCTGGAGGTCCCTGAGCATCTCTGGTCCACCCCAGGGATTCTGAAGCCGCATCCCAGTGCCCAAGCAACCCCATCCCAATTCAGAGGCCCCCGAATGGAACACCCTGGTCCATCCTGGGTCATCCCAACTCATCCCGTCCCATTCTGATCTCCAAGCAGTCCCATCCCAACCGGTCCCCCCAAGCAGCCCTATCGCATACCAGTCTCCAAGTAGCCTTGTCTCATCTCGGTCCCCGAGCAGCCCCGTCTCACCCCAGTCCCTGAGCAGCCTCGTCCCATTCTGTTTCCCAAGCAGCCCCATCCCA